GTGGTTTTTTGTTTGTCTTAACTCTTCAAGTTGTTTTAGTGTTACTACAGGGTTGCATTAACCTGTGACAATGTTACTAAAACCCTGCCTAAATGTCTATTTCTTTTCCTTCAGATTTCTTCTTCACTAAAAAATCACTTCTAACTTTTCTTAATGAAATAATGTGACATCATTAGCACAGCATCAAAGTGATTGGTTTTGTTCACATAGGTGTCAAAAAAGTGAAGCAATTAAGTTCATAAATCACTAACTTACCTTTTGCATACCAAATGTGCATCTTACTGCTGCACTTTTTGTTAATTTATGCTTAATATTAAAATCAGTTGTTAATGGCAGGATAGTTTTCATACTCTGTGGCTATTGAGGCAGCTCCTGTTCTGTCAGGCCTGTTTTTTCTGGCTTGTTACTGTTATTAAGGTTACTGAACACACATTTTCTCTGTAGTGTTTTTGCATGCTTTGCTGAGTGAGAAGGGATTGCCACTCAGTGTTTCTGCTGTTTTCAGCAATGTAATGGCAGTTGTTGTAAGGCCAGGACTGGTGAGTTACTGTGAAGGAAGCTGGTATCAATTCTACATTCCTTAGATAGTTTGTTGCAGTTTAAACTTGGATTTGTGGTAAGAAATGCTCCTGTTTAGCAGTTTAGAGACAAATGTCAGATTTGAGCGTGGCTTTGAGTATTTGTTATGAGGTTTGTTCATGGGTGGAGAAGACTGAGATCAGTGCCCCAAACAAAGCCACTCTGGTGTTCCTGCATCTGCTGGAATGATCATCATTCTATGAGCTTGCATTCCTGCATGTAGCAGTAAATGGCACTGTGGGGTGTGAGGTTCACTGTGTGTCAGGTGCACTTCCATTTCCTGAAGAGTGGCTTTTCCTCAGAAAGTGACCGGGACATTGGTGACATCGCTGTGAGACCTTGCCACTCTCACCCTGTTCTCTGCCCAGTGCATCTCTGCTGGTGCTGCCTTGGGAAGTTGAGAGTAAAGGGAAGATATACCTGCTGTTCATAGGAGAAGTAAGAATCATAGGGAAATAAAGCTGGAAAAAAGGGCTTCCAGAAGAGGGTCGGTCACAGCTGCATCCCTGTGACAGGTGTTGGGAAATGCTTCATGGTGCAAATTCCATCTTTACCAAATCCCTTCAGTGAACCTGTCTGAGAGCTTCAGTTCGTTCTCAGCCATAGGAGCGGATTTTAGATGGGATGCCAATTACACGGGAATTCATTTGTAGTGCACTTTGGTCTCTGTTCATGTTGATTTTGTTTACAAATACGATTTTCTGGTGTTTATTCATGGTCATTGAGCTAAATCTTGGCATATCACTGCAGCTTACTCACGCCCTGCGCTTGAAAAGGCCCGAGATTTATGGGGATGTATTTAAATGCAGTTAAAGCTCTTTCCTTACAGGGGAATTTTGCTTACATTTTGATTTTGAAAAATTAACCATCTAAGTCTCTGACGGTATTTATACTTCTTTTGACAGTAATCCAGTCCCTCATAGCACTGGTGAATGATCCACAGCCCGAGCACCCCCTGCGGGCTGACCTAGCTGAAGAATACTCTAAGGACCGTAAAAAATTCTGTAAGAACGCTGAAGAGTTTACAAAGAAATATGGTGAAAAGCGACCAGTGGACTAAAATCTGACACAAGTGCTGTCAGCAGCCTATGATAGAAGATCGGAGCAGTGCATTTGAGACACCCCGTAAAGCAGGACTCTATGGAAAATTGACAAGTGCCACCTTTCGGTGTGAACTTGTGGCTGTTACTAACTTTCTACAGTTTTCTTAATCAAAAGTGGGCTAGGTAACCTGTAAAGAAAGGATTAAAATTTAAGATGTTCTAGTTCTGCTTTCTTTGTTTAAAAATCACTGCTTCAATATACTTTAAAGTATGCTGTTTTCTTTTTCTTGTCAGAATTTATCAAAAATATCTTAGACTTCTATTCTGCCCTTAAATTGAAAAGGTTGTGGCTGTCATTTCTTATTTTTCCTTGCAGTTCCCACTATCTTGAGTTCATTCATTGAATTTTAACCCCCTCCTCAAAGTGATGTCTTAGGAAAAATATCCCAGTTCTGGCAGAAAATGATTGAGTGTTTGGCAGTTTCGTTTACTTTTCTTTCTAAATGTTGCACTGTGCTTTGTGGGACTTGTTGCAAGTTCCCCTGAACTTCAGTTTGTAACATAATAAACAAAATCCAACCCACAAAACCAATCAGAAATAATGTCTGGGTCTGATGTAAATCTGGCCAATGTCTATTAAACGGGGAAACCCAAGTTTTTGTGTGCATCATTGAATTAGAATATGGCTTATGTTCTGCTCTTGGAAAACTTTGGAAAAAAAAGTTTGTAGCAAACAAGTAGTAGAATGTGATTCCAAACTTCCTTCACTTCTGTCTTTAATACCTATGCAGAGTAGTGGGAAACATGCACAGAACAACATTGCAACCAATCCAGGAGTTCCAGAAATTGGGGACCAAGAGGTACCAAAGTGACAAACTGTCTTTTGAATTTAAAATCATTATTTTGGAAACGTTAATTTTGAATTCAGGAACTAAATCTGACAGCACTGCTGTCCTCTCTGAACGTTTTCCCTCAGAATGCGTCAGGAGCATCTGTGTTTGTGGGACGGCCCTGGAGCTGTTCCCAGCCCCGGGCGCGGCCAGGCCTGAGCAGTAAGGTGTGACAGAGTGTGCTTGGCTGCTGCTGCTGCTGTGCTCAGCACACGGCCGGGATTCAGTGAGTGTTCAGTGTCGGTCGAGCCTCTCAGCTTGGTCAGGCAGAGCCGTCCTGCGCGTGCTGAAGGAAAGGAGAGGGAGCCTTTCCCTTCAGAGCTGAGCACCCTTTGCCGTGTCTCTGCTGCTTCTGCTGCCTTTCCTCCCCAGCCCAGAGCGTGATCCTAGCTCCACAGTCAAACTGCCACACAGTCAACCTGCTGTCTCCCCTTCTGCAGCTGGGGTCTGCTACTGAGTGAATGGTTTATTTCCAGAAATCCATGGGTATCTGGGAGCACATATCATTTTGATGTGCAGAAAGCTGAGTTGAAAAAACCCTGACACCTAGGTGGTTGCCTGTACTCCTAAATTCAGTTTTAATACAGCCTCTGCCTTTGCAACCTTTGAGAACTAGTGTGTCAAGCAGTAGATCTCTCTTGGTTTTAATGTCTTGTGTATTTGCTATTTCCTTATTCGTCCCTCTCCTCTGGCTTTCATTTCCAATTTAGTGTAAACAATGACAGCCCAGTACCTCACCTCTGTTGAAAGTAAATTTTTTTATGAGTTAGGGAGCTAAGAAATTTTATGTTTAAGTGTTCTTAGACAGATTCTTTGGCAGGTAAATAAAGTTAAACCACATTCACCTTATTTACAGAAACTTGCATTTCCTAAGTGTTTTCAGGCTTGTGAGAGCACTATTACCAAATTTTCACATCTTTGTGTCTTCATTTGCAGAAAGTTGGTACTGATTTTGTTTCATTCACGCTCACTCAGATTCATAATAAAATAATGCCAAATTATCTGTCAAACTGAAGTGTGTAACTTCTGCATCACCTGAGTCACTGTACCTTTGATCATGTCTGTTGGCATGGAAACTTACCATTCTCTAAATTTTATTTGAAACAAAACTGTAGCACTAGTTTGCTGCCCTCGTTGCTACTCAATAGTTACTCTGTGGTTGTAAAGCCTCTCAGGTCAAAGACTGCGTCTGCCTGGCTGTGCTCGGATGCCGCGCGAGGGACGGAAGGGCTGCGACCGCAGGAGCTCCGGCCGAGCCGCCAGCCGCTCCCATCCAGCTGCAGAGCTCACACGAAGACAGAGCTCGCTATCAGTTCTCTTGGTGTGTTCTTCATAGTCCAATTGCTAAACTGTGAGATGTGTAAACAAAGTTCTGGGGCGGCCTCTGAACAAAGGGATCCGGCACCTGTGTGGCTGAAGGCTGAGGAGGAGAAATCCAAGTGCGAAGTCCTAAGATAACTCAGGAAATCAAGCTCTTGTTCTCTCTGGTTCCCTAAGCCATGCTGAATTTTAAACGTGCAGTTGAACATCCACAATGAAAGCAGCGCACTGGTGAAACTACACCCAGGAGTACTGGTATAGGCTTTCTGCAAGTCCATTCTGCTACCCTAATAAAAATTGCTCTCAAAGGCTTTGTGGCATGGTTTTATTTTCACAGAGGTCCGGGAATTAACTGGGATTGTAGTAGTCTTTTAATTTCAACTTGGGTTGTCTTTAAAGCTTTCACAGAACTACTGAGAAATTTCCTTATCTCCCTATATCTTATGCAATTGAAAGGTTCCCTATTCAGTGGTCTTTTAGTATTTCATTATTCATTTCTCTAATTTAAACGTAAATTTGGGGTTTAATGCTCTTCATTTAAGAACAACGAATTTACAAAATCTCTTTTTTCACAGTACAATGCTGAGGTAAAGGCTGCCCTCAGGTCTTCAGTGCTCGGTTGTGAGGAAATGCATGCAAAATTCCACACGTGTGTAACGTCCTGATGGGTGCGATCAGAGCCAATCCAGCGCTTAGAACACGAGGCAGTTTAAATGTTTATAATAAAGTTTAAAAGCATCCATGAGGACGCGGTGACAGTTCCATACCCTAGGAGCTCTGCGGTGCGGCAGCGGCTGCAGTGCGGCGCGGAGGCGCGGGGTGGCGCGGGCAGGGCGAGCGCTCCGGGCGGCTCTGTCCCGGTGCCCCCGGGAGCGCCTTCGGGGCCGGGGATCGCCAGGGGTGACACCTGCCCTGCTCCCACCGGGCCCGGCTCCGGCATCTAAGGCACTTTCTATAACATAGGAAGGAATCGGGAAAAATATTTTCTACAGCATCCTTGATGTGTTTCCTGCTTGTACAGGACAAAAACATCCTCACGTGTTATAGGAAAGGTCAGACAGTTCCCATTAATGATAGAAAGGGAGGCCCTTCCAGTGATGGGGGAGCAGACAGGTGAGTGGTTTAGTTCACTGATCAGATGTAATTAAACCCAAAAGCCTCCTGAAGCTTTGCAATAGAAAAGGTCTGAGTTTATTTTTTATTTAAAAGAATAATGATGATACTGATATTTTTTATATTAAAAAATACGGTTAGCAAAACCAATTATGTTAAATAGATCACTCTTGTGCAGAGAATTTTTCCCCATGTGAAAGTCCTTACAGGAATGACAGGGCTGCAGTTCAGAACATAACAGCACTACTGGGACTTGTTGGACTTTGAGTGCTCTGGTGACAGGAATAAAAGGGACAAACACAGGGACCTTCTCCGCTCACAGCCCTGCTCGTGGTTGTCCTGAGGGGCAGTGGGTGGTGCAGGACCAGTTGCTGCTGCTCTCGTACACAGCAGTTACTGAAATAGAAGATGGGTCAACAGTTGCTGCTCCTGCAAAGTCATCCAAAAAATTAGAAGCCTCTCCAGAAGGGCTACAGCTGATGTTATTTTCCTAGTGGGGGCTTAACACCAAGAGGCAAGGTAAACAGGCAGACACAATTCCTGCCGGCTGAGGCGGCTCCCGGGAGGTGGCTGCTGGGCCACGTGTGACCCGAGTGCTCCGACCAGAGGAAGGCTCTGAGGGTGACGTGTCCCTGCAGCACTCACCAGGTACGACAGGAGGGGCAGGGACTGGCTGCTTTCAGAGAACCCAGTGCTGAAGGTGTCACCTGTGGGTGACCTGCACTGAGTGGGTGCTCCAAAGCAGCACCCGCTCCCCAGCAGGGCTCTTGTTTTGCCATCAAGTGTGAAAGGAGAAGGGATCAGACCCCTCAGGGTGCTGTGCTGCAGTGTCTCACAGCCAACTCTGTCCCTGTGCTGCTCCTTTGCTGGCAGGAGCTGAGCCCTGGGAGCGTGTGCTGCACTGGGGCACTGTGGAGGGGGTGTCACAGGAGGAGTTCGGCACATTTTGAGCAGGTGTTGTAGCCTTAAAATTGGCAGCTGGGGCTCTGGGGTACTGCCTGGAGCTGCTGACAGGGTGGTGGTGTCCACTCCCAGGCTGTTCCTGTGAGTTGTACCAGGGACTGTGACAGATAACAGTGATCTGGCTTCTCTGGATGTTAGCAACTGCCTGTCTTCAGAGGGATGGATGGATGGATGGATGGATGGATGGATGGATGGATGGATGGATGGATGGATGGATGTCTGCTTGTTTATTTAAAGATCTTTGAATGAGCACAGCTGAATGTTCCTGCTTTTATAATGGCTCTGCAGCTCTGGCTTAATTAATGTCTGGAGTTCATGGAGGCGTTCCCAGGACTGTGAGAAATCATCGGGTCCTTCCCCACAGCCACCGACGGGGGGGACACTGGGGTAGCCTGGGTGCACCATCAGCTCGATTGTCGCGGTGCTGCTCCGCGGTGCCCCGGCCGAGAGGCGCAGGACGGCGCTGTCGATGGCGCTGCGGATGCTGCTGACAGACATGTTCCTGCCCATGGTGCTCAGGCCTATGTAGATGTCTGGCCACCTGCAGCCAGAGGAGGGAACACTGCTGTTAATGCTAAAGAGGCTGGTAGAGAATTAATTGTGTTACGTCCGGTGGATTAGGAATCAAAATTTACCTAAAATTTAAGATATGAAATTGGGAGGAGTTTTAAAAAGCTTTTAACTGTAAACGAAAGTAAAACCAGGACTTTTCCTGATTGAAACCAGGATCCTATTTCAAGCAGCAGTTCTGCAGGAACAGCAAGGCCCAGCACAGCCCCAGCACCGTGTTTGGCATCTGTGAGCTTACAGGTACATTTTATTGTACCAAACAGAAGCAAAGAGCAGCACTACACTGAGAAATGCCACACTATCAAAATAAATTAAGCCTGAATAATAACCCTCAGCTAAGTAGAAACAAAAGTGACTGAAATAAAATGGCAACCACCCAGCTAAAGAATTCTGCCAGAATATATCAAAGAGCCATAATAACTGGGCAAAATGTTACTCCTAGAGGACACCACCTACATGCTGTTTCTTAGCTTCACACAATTCTTTGTTCAAGTCTGGCTGTAAGTGTCAGTTCTAAGTGTGACCTGGACGAGTCCAGGAGAGCTGAGCCACTGCATGTGAGGGCAGAATGAAAATGTTTTCAGAAGAAATCAAGGCTGGAGTCTTTATCTCAATGATCACAGAAGAGCCCAGCTCAGCTGTTCTTGAGAAGGGAGAAATACCAGCCTGCTCCTGGTGTTCAGAACCACTGGTACAACAAGAAAAAAAGAAAAAATCCCAGCAGATAATGTTTCCAGTGGACTGAGGAAGTAATGACATCTGCCCCAAAGGACAGGTGACTGCAAGGGTCTCTATTGAAAGGCCTTTAACCCATAAAACACTGTCTAAGCTTTTAAGAGAAGGGTTTTACTGGGGGAAGGGCTGAGCTTTCAGGGTTTGGCCCCTGAGATGCAGGACACTGACAAGGCTGTTTGCTTACAGCAGTGATCACCTGCTGTGGTACTACCAGCTCTCAGAGCTTCCCCTTAACAAATACCTGCTTCTAATTAGTCTCATTCCTGCTACTTAAAACTTTCTCTACTACAACAGGAAGATGAAAAATTAGTTCTTAAATGCTTTCCTTAGATAATACTTTTAAAATTCCAGCATTGATGCAGCATTTCTCCTGGTATTCCAGATGCTGGGCTGATGCAGCTTCACTAGAAAGGCTGAGAAGCATATCCTGGAAAGAACATTCCTTTTCAAGTGGAAAGTGACTCATCTCTGTTCAAACAAAACTTCCTAAGCCCTTGTGCCCCTGGCACTTTTGTGCTCCTCCTGAACCTTTCTCTAAGTCCAAAGAGGAAAGAGAAAGATGGTGTTCCATTTTTGGAAGATGCTATCAGAAACTGATACAATCTTAATGTTTTACTACAAAAAAGGATGAGTAATACCTGTCTTACCTTATTCCATGCTTTGTAAACACATCCACTGTGTTAAAAGAATCTTCTTCTACTCCCAGGTAAAAGTCCATCAGGGATGGTGGAATCCAGTCACAGTTATGAAGGCCTGGCTCTATGGGGACACGTGTGTACTTAATCCCATATTCCTCTAACACTTCTGCAAACACATGCCTGACCTCTGTAAGCAAAACCAGAGACTGCAGTCAGGGGTTGGATAAGCAGCTTCTGGTGTCCCCTGCAAGCTGCTAGCACAGAGGCTTCTTTCCTTTCTGTGTTTAAGAAAATAAAATTCCATTTGGTTTATCTTCTGCTGAAATCCATCTGTACAGGAGTCACCTTCTATACTGGAAACATTTCTCCCTGAACTTCTGCTGTAGGTGCCTTGTTGTTCTTCCTTTCAGCACTGAGCCTTTAGTCCAGCCCCCCTTCTAAGTGAGTGACTCTGGTCTTAAAGTGTCCAGAGGTGACTGCACTGTCAGAAACAAATTCTTCATCAAGTCCTTGTACAGCCAGAGCAATGTTATCTGGAGGCAGTTAGTACTGGAGTGGGAAAACCTGCATTCTCTTCTCACTCCATTTTCCATCTCTGTACCACAATAACTTCATTTGCAAAGGAAGGACAAAAGATCCTTGCTCATCTCTAAAGCTGAGACCTGCAGGCAGGGACTGGGGTGGGAACACAAAGGACAGGATGGAGTTCTTGTAGCACCTGAAAGAGCCACCAGCTATTGCAAGCTCCAACACTGCAGTTTAAACTGGCCAGTCTGCTGCTGGCTTTGGTCTGCCTCCTTCAATGTGGGTGAGAATGTGGAATTAGGATGCTGAGGAGAATTACTGGTCCTTGGAGGAAGAGGTGTAACCTTGGCCATTTGTGTCATTCATGCCCTGGTGCTGCTATGGGAAGACCCAGGGCTCCAAGCAGGGTTTGGGTCTGGGCAGGACTGTGGGGCCAGGTGGGAACATTCAAACTGCAACTGCCAGCAGGTGTCCCGTGGTGGGGGTTATTGCCCACACAGGGAGCTGTGGCAGGAGGAGTCCCCTCTGAGCTGGCTCTCTCACCTGCTTGGTGCTGAGATTTCCTTCTTACCTGGGAGAACATGGACGTGCTGGTGCCCATCCATGTGAGGAGGCAGGTGACCTGTCAGCTCATGGAACAGCTCCACCTGGGCCTTTAGCTCCTGCTTCACCTGTGCAGCAGAAAAGGGTCAGAGCAAGACCTGGCAGAGGCTGAGAGCAGGTGAGTGAAGGGGCTGCTGGGACCTCACAGGCAGGAGTCAGGACCTAGCTCTGGGAAGCAGGATGTGCTGTGGTTGTACAGGGATGTGCAGCACTGCTGGGCTACCCAGAGCCTCCCTTGGGCACAGGGCTCTTTGTGGCACTGCTCATGGGGACGGTGATGATGGGGATGTTCTAAATACATAGGATAGTTGAACACCCATTTCTGTTTAAAATGGATGCAGTTTTGATCACCTGAACATGTTCATCCTTGATCATGGGGCAAAACCAGCCACCTCCCTAGAGGACCAAAATTTCTCACAAGCTGATGAAAAGCCTGGTACCTACTTAGGACTTTTCTGTTGCTCTTTACTGATCTCTAGGTTCTTTGTAAATACCTGTCCCAATGCCCCTTCTTCCTCCTCAGATAAATAGTTAACAGTGCATACAGGCACTGAATCAGGGAGGAATGGGTTCTCAAAGGCTGCCGAGCCAGCTCAAGCTCACAGGCAGCACAAGCAGGGCTCATCTTTAAGCCTGCTCATGGCTGGGATCTGGGAAAGGTCCTCAGCTGTTATGTGCTGGGATAAATGCAGGCTGATTTGTATCAGGAAGGCATGTTGTACAGCTGTATGTGGCTTTCTCCTACCTCTGACATATTCAGGAGACCTTTTGATAGAGCTGTTCTGAATCCCATTTTTCCATGGAAGAATCCATCTTGGTTGAGCAGAGAAGAGTTTGTCTTGAGCACCTCACACACAGGGGAGCCCTCGGAGAGGTTGGCATGCAGGCCTATGGGGATGTTGTATCTGTAAGAGAGTGAAATGTCTGCCAAGCTTTGCACCTCCCTCACCGTGGTCAGAGAGGGGCGATTAAAGTGTAAGAACCAGACTGATCTTAGAGGTGTTTCAGTACTCACTGCAGTACATCTTTGTATCTCTGCTCTGCCAGAAAGGATGGCACAGTGACCCCAATCAGAGCAGGGCATCTCCAGGCAACAACCCTGAGCACTCCACCCAGGGCCAGCCTCTGAGTGCCCCCAAAGCCTGCCCCCATCCTGGCTCACAGCACCACATATCTTGGGCTAAATGCTGTAACTGCACTCCAGGAACTCCAGTAACTGATAACCAACAGAAAAATCCAGATCTTGCAGCTTTTTCTAAAGTGCTCCATGAGCCCTTGCTAGGTATCCCCTTGAGTTGTTCACCCTGTTAAAGATGGTACATTTATGAGATATTCGAGTTTTTCTTGATGACTCCTAAAGCTGTCCTTAAGTAGAATCCAGTTATTTATATATAAGCAGTGCCTAAGAAAGCTGTTATGGCAACAGCACAGGCTACAGGTGTAAATACAAGGGGCTGCAGCTGGAATTGCCTGCAGTGGCCAGGCTTCTGTCTACTGGAGCAATCACTCAGTGAGTGGCAAGGATGAGCTGTACAGAGCATCTCCCTGGCACAGCCAGAGAAGGAGTAGTGCAAGGAGGCCCACAGTGAGGGGTAGAGCCTTGCTAAGGAGTCACAGGGGTATGACTGATTACCCAGTTGCACACTGTAAGATTCCTGGAAAAAAAGAAAAGGAACTATGGAGTTGGTGTGGCTGCAGAGCTCCCCTCAGGGCTCAGCAGTGCTGGTGTTTCCTTCTTGGTCTGTGCCTGGATTCCCCTGCAATGAGAACAGGACTTGTGCATGCTTGGATTTGTGCTGGGTCTCATTAGCATTTCTGGAAATCCTCAGAATCAGTAGCCAAAATGATGCTTTGAAAGTTTTTCCAAGACAACCCGTGGCCTCTGGCTGACCCAGTGAGCCGATGACAGAACTGCAATGTTCCATCTGTGCTGCCCAGTCTGAGTCATGGTGCAGAGTGAATTTCAAGGCAACAAGCCTGTGACGCTTTAAATCCTTCTTGGAACTTCTGCATGGAGCTGTTAAAAGTGGGTGTGGTCTGTCCCTGACACAGCCCTTGTACCACAAAAGAAAACAAAAACAATCTCCATTGAGGCAAAGGGTGCAAAACCGAGACCTTGCCCTTGTCTGACACCTGAAGCTGACTGGAGAAGCACCAGCCCTCTGGAGACAGGACTGTGGATGGGCTGGACCAAGTCAGAGTCATTTAGCTCATTCAGGTCCTAAGCCCTTGGCCCTTGAAGGACTGAAAGCCTTTTTTTCCTGGCTCTTCCATGTCTTGTGACTCAGGTAGATGGTGCAGTCAGTTGCTAGATGCTACTTCTCAAAGACATAAATGTTAGGAGTTAAATTGTATGCACAGCTCTGTGGAACAGAGAAAATTAGTCCATTGTGTGATTAAGGAGCTTGAATGTTTAATGGAGCAAAACAGCTTGTGGAGAAAAAGGTCCTCTCTGGCTTTTCTGATCTGGTGATTTCTGTGCAGCAGGGCCCGATTGTTTCACTGATGATAAATGTTCATCACAGTGAGGGCCTGAGCACATGTGCACACCAACTCCTGGCTAATACAAGAAGTGGAAGGTGTGTCACTGGGGGTGACAGGCTGCAGGGCAGCACAGGAGGCAGCTACAGTGCAGGAGGGCTGCTGTGGCAGAAGGGCTTCCCCTCCATCCTGTGACTGGCTGGGCGCCCTGCACAAGTCCAAAGGCAGAGGGGAAGCCTGTGGTTTTTTTGGGTTTTCTTTTAGAAATCCACCCCAGATTCTTTATTCTGTCTCTGGGAAGCTCTTACTGCCTCAGCTGGAGTATTGTTTATAGCACAGTCAGTGCTGCTTTCAAGAAAAAAAGGATTCCTGTGTTACCATGAATCAGCAGATGGACTTCTTCTGTTGAGTACTCTCTTCCTCATGTGTTGTGGGAGGGCAAGAAATGAACAGCTGAGCCTCTCAGTGTTGTCTCCCAGGAGCATCAAATGAACTGCCTCCAATTGTGCACTGCCTCAAATGCTGTGAGGAAGGTTATTTCCAGGAGCCTCTGACAGGTGTGGGACACCAAGGAGCCAAGGGCTGCACTGAGGAACATGAGAGCAGCTCCTGGCCAGGGCCAAACTCAGCCCCAGAGCTGGGGAATGTGCAGAATGTGGAAGTGCAGAGAGAGCTGGCCTTGTCCTTGGGTAAGAGGAGACCCTGACTGTAACATTAGAGCATGTTTCAGAGCTTTGCCTAACACCAGCTGAATATCTTAATAGTTTTCTGGTGGAGTCAGTCCTGGTTTGACGGACTGTGCATGCTGAGGCATCTGCAGAGGAACTGCTTGTGTTTAATGGCTCTGGGATAGAGGCATTGAAAGCAAAACTCAAAATGCTGCACATGAGAAACTTGTTCAGAAATATTCATTGTGGGAGGTGCACAGAAGAAGGCATGCTGGAAGGAAGGATATAAGGAGAAGGACAGATCAGTAGGTACAGCAGACTTCTACTGCAAGATCGCAGGGAGAAAAGTCAAGGTGCAGCAAAATCCTACAAGGCCCCACTTTTCAGAGCACATATGATTGTTTTGCTACAGAAATATACTTTGTAGTTGCCCACATCCTTCAAAAGACTGTAAATAGCTGCTAATTTGTTGGCTGAAATACTGACGCAGAGACCTGCAGCTCAAGCAGCTTACACAGCATGTGATGCTGCCCTGGGACCAGAGCTCAGCTGCCGTGGGTTTGGCCTCATCCTCCTCTGCCCAAGCCCTTTCCAGATGGGACAGGGTGAGCCCTGCTGGTCACTGCTGGTCATTAACTGCTAATTGCTCACACAAGATGCAAAATAAAAGGATTGGCATTGGGCTTCAGGCAACGGTTTCGTTTCTGCACACAGCTACCACTGTCAAAACAAAATGATGTGAAGAATCTACTTGGTGTCCCTAAATCTTTTTTGGTGACTCTTTTTAAGCTGCAATGACCCTTCCCATCTGTTTGGAGAATTTGCAAGTCTGTCCCAGTGCCCAGGGAATGCAGAGATGAAGCAGGATTTAGCACAGGGGCTCACTTCACTCCTGATAAAGCCAGAGGACCCTGGCTACAGGTGTGTGCTCTTACAGCAGGAGCAGCACTAGACTGAGCTGCTTGGGAACTTGAGAAGAGATTCAGGCCACAGAGGTCAATGCAGTGGAGAGCTGTTTGCACTGAAAGTTGGCTGTTCCCTCTGTGGGTCTCTTCTCAGCATTCCCTGTAGAGGTGGGGGGGAAAAGGAGAGACTTGTGCAGGAGGAAATATCCTTACAGCAGGTGCTAGAAGGAATTCACCCTGGAAAGATTTCTGAGTCAGCACACCCAGTCCAGTTATCAAAGAGAGAGGAAATACAGTAAGCTAAACTGCTTAAACTGCTTCCTTTTCAAGTAGTTGCTTGTTTTGCCACACAAGTGCTCTGAATAAATGTCTCTGCTGAGGCAATGTGCAGCTGCAATCCCTGTTCATTGACCCTGGAGATGGGCACTGCACTGAGTCACTCTGTGCTTGGTGCATGAGTAACAGTGTCCTGGGTCCTGCCTGGCCATGCCACAGAACAGCTGCAATGGCTCTGGGAATGATGGGATTTGCCAAGCACTGTTCCAATTGCCTTGCTGAAGGCTGGATGCTCTGGCATAAGCATGGCACTTTACCCTTTCCCCTAATGGGTAAACAGATCCCACCTTCAACAGCCTATTTGTATCATCCAGGAAACTGCTGATCATCAGGTTTCAGCCCAAGTGTGACCCAAGCTGGAGCCTCATGTAAATATCTGTATCTCATCATCTCGCTTCAGTGAACACCCAAGTGTCTGAAGCCAGACAAAGCAAGGCTTTGAGTAAAAATGGGCACTTCTTAGTTTCCTCATGTTGGCATTTGTATGCTTCCTCACACACACTTTCACCATTCAGTAATACCTGTCTTTCATCAAATAGCATATTTTCTTGCTCTATTACTGCTAAAAACTTATTTCTTCTGCCAGAAATGCCCTAAAGCCTCTGCAGTGTTGAGAGCTGGTGCTGTAACACAGCTTAGGGACCCGGGTTTCTGTTGTAATTACATCTTTGTATCAAGTGCAGCTCCTGTGTCTGTAGGCTTACATCAGTAAAATGGGCTGCTGCCAGTGAAGTCAATATGATCTGGGATTCTAGTGTAAGGCTTCAGATTGGGTCCCACCCCTATCCAAACAGTTCAGCAGAGGAACTGCTGTGTGATTAACAGTCACACACAAGGGTTGATGAGAAGGCATGAGAGATTTTTAAATTAGTCAGATGTTAACTGGGAGGGTCAGAATTAAGTCACAATTTACACCCATATTTTGCAATTAGTGCTGATGGGAAAGGAAGTGAAAACATAGAGAGTAATTAAATGTGGCTTTGTTAGATCCTTCTGTTAGATGTACCCAGATGTTGTGGGGGCTTTGGCTGATGTTCAGTATTCAAACTGCAAAAAAACACCCAGGAAGACTGAGGCTGTGTTCTAAAATATGTCACTCTTCATAAGCTATTTGGACACAAATGGAAAAAGGTCCTAAGCCTCAGTAACACCTGAGCTGTTTGATGTAAAGGGGAGGGGTGGGAGGATATAGCAGCAAGCTGTCTTAGATGTCTCTATTTCTATCTCCATATTTCTAAGGAAAAATTAAGGCATCTCTTCATTTCAGGTTACAAAATAACCTTCCAGTTTCTGGGAAAAGCTCTGGAATAATCACCAGGAAGTCTGGCTGACTTCAAGGCAGGGCCTGTTAAGTAGAAAATTGAGATTATATTATATGGATAAGCAGGAAATCACAGTCAGTCAAGGCCCCATAAAGAGAAAAGTTTTGAGTTACTGAAAAAACCCTCAACCCACAATGGCAGTCTGTTCTCCCACCTGCTGCTCTGGTTATGTTCTGCCCTAGCAGATGCTGTCAATAGGTTTGTCATTTGGTGATGGATCAGGCCTCTGCTGAAACTTCTCTGTTGCCAGAAATGAGTGTGCCCCTTCTTTCAGCCCAGTTGTGACAGTGGATGAGGAAAGGCCAAGGTGCTGAGCCTCAGTGTTAAGGAAGGTGTATTTTTTACTGCTTAGTTCTGCTGTTCTGCAGTTGGCTTGTGTTTGAGCTGCTACAAAGATCTGCTGACTATCATCACATGTCTGCCAAGGCTGTTAATCAAGACTTAGGGCAACAGATGGTATACCCAGAAACTACAGAATTATTATGAAAATGAAAGGAAGAAAGAAATTTCAGAGGAACTGTGTTCCTTTCTGAAGGATGCTGAGTCCTAACATTGTAGGGCAGCACGAGGTGCTTAGGAAGGAAAAGTTGTCTACTTATTAATTAGCTCTGCCTGTGTCCCATTAACTTAAAACCAGGTGAGGAGTGAGAGCTTAAGACTTGCAGTTACAAGCAATCATGGAATAGACAGTTTATCAAGAAGCATAAAAGCAGTCCATCAGCCAGACAATCCTGGCACCATGTGTGTGAAAGACCAAATTCCACAGCACTAGAATGTGCCCCAGGAAAGGACAAGCTACTTGCTTCAAGCCTCTTCTCTCAGCTGGGGATAGATGCACTCTTCCTGCTTATGCCACTGGTCAAGGCTGAATAGGGGAAGACAAACATGAGGAGAAAAAAAACCAGCAGGCACACTTTCATCCTGTAATAAAAAAAGCCTCAATATTTACAGTGGGATGGGAGATGTCACCGAGCAGGGGAAAGAGGGAATAATATTGGCAAGGCAGTCAAGCAAATGACACTTTCCCATTTCTGCACCACAAGATGAGGAGGACTCAATGACATTTCTAGCAAGTCCGACCTATTTGTCATCTGGGTAGAAAGAGTTTGCATCAGCCTTTGTAACATGAACAAATGTCTCAGGGGTGACACAGGGTTTGTTTACACACACAGGTGCCAATTAGCAGCAGCTGAAGCTGGGCTTGCATTACAACATGAGGAAACCTCTTCTCCACACCTGCTAATGCTCCTGCCATGGCTGGGTAGGGTGAATACACCTGCAGGGAGTTACACAAATGAGGAACTGTAGAACCTGGGCTGGTGATCTTCAGAGCTGGCAGATGTTCCCAAAGTCACCCTGCTTATATGCTCAGAAACAGATTTAAATCCATTTCATTCACACTGACAATTCAAAATTATGTTCCCCCCCAAAAAAAATTCCAATTGTATCAGCAGGCTGCAGCCTCTGCTGTCCCCTGCCCTCCAACCTGGCTTTTCACACCCATATCAGCTGCCAGCACCAGTGTCATGACCTGGATTCAAAGATGCTTTTCAAACCCCTGATTACATGGCCTACTTCCTGGCCATGGAAATGAGGCCAGGTGGATTCTATTTTAAAAGCCTGCTAAAGACCATAGCTAAAATAGCTGACAACATTACCAGACCACTGGGGCTTAAAGGGTTTCACAGTGCCTCTGTGTCTGAGAGATGTGCTGGCTTTATCTCTGTGTTCTATGTTTCATTTACTAATAGGATTTTAGGAATCTTACTGGTGTTGTGTCTCTCCCCTTCTCATTCCCAGGCAGTTCCTCCCTCAGTGTTTGTGGGGAATCTCTAGGCATTTTACAGACCAGATTGCCACTAACACAGCACCCTGGCTTTCCTCCACCACCCTACTCCAAAGAAGCTATAAGCAATTTTCAAGTACCCCTAAAACCACAGCAAATTGAGGAGAGATGCTTAATGAGAACAAGGTCAGCAGGACTCTCATGAAACTCTTCCCCACAGCAGCTGCATTTGAAGCATAAAGTCTCAGTTTATTTAAAAGCAGTACAGTTCCTTTCCTTTTCGGCTGTCCTAAATTATTTCTCAATCCTGATGTTCTCTCTTTCAGGACATATTCCTGCTTCCAAGCACCTGCCCACACCAGAGCTGAAGCATTAGCAGGGTTTTTCCTCCTAAACACAAATAATGCTTCCTATTAAAGGATTTGCTGGACTAGACTATGAGACTGCCACATAGCATTTGATCCACTGCAGAGCTACCTATGCCAGCAGCCTCTGAAGCTGGTGAAGAAGTAAAGGTTGTAGGTACAAGGTATTGTCCCTTTCTTTATGTATGCATTTTTACAGATATGTTTATCAAGCCTAGAATTAATAGAAATATTGATGTGCTTTTTTAAAAAGTTTTACAGAGTGGGGGAAAAGTCAAGTTTTCCACTGCCCATTTTTATAAATAAGCCTTTGCAGAATCACACCTTTGCCTGATTCTGCAATGAGCCTGGCAGACCTTGTGCTCAGCCTGGGTGAAATGGATCAATTAAACGAGATTTAAAGACTTGTGCTTTTGTGCTCTTATAGTTTTAGGGGCAGCAGAAGATTGGTCAGAGTATATAATGTGCACTTTCCTTCTGATGATGCATTTTTAGAAGCGTAGAAGGAGAAAGTCTGACAAACCCAAATTCTACTAGTCAAATAGTGGAAATGGCTTTCTGTCCTGAGGGGAGGAAAAGGTGCAGTGGCCAATACTAGAGAAAGACTATTACTGGTATTACTTAGCAGATCACTGGTTTTACTATGAAGAGTCTTAGAAAATGTGTCTGAATACAGTTTTCTTACACCAGCCTGAGCTATGATACAGTGTTTATTCTGGGGCTACAAAATACTAAATTTTCCAGGCTTGGTTCTTCGTGGAGGCTGTCCACAAAGGAGCTAAAGAAAGTATCTTACCTCCTTGCCAGCTTGGCTGCATCTGCTGCAGCACTTCCGTTGACTAGAAGGGACACGTTAGACACCGCACCAGCCAGGAAACAGTCCACAATGCCTTGGTTTCTCCGAGGACAATAGCCGAAGTCATCTCCAGTTACTATTAACTTCACCTGAAGCATCCTTAGATGTCATCCCTGGCAAAAAGAAAAGTAAAAGGAGGTTAAATCGGAACACTCGGCAGCGGGCAGATCACAGGCAAACAGGAAAAGACAGGCTTACCGCGGGCGAACCCAATCGTGACTCAGCCCCTGACTCAGCCCTCCTGCTCCAGCTCAGCCCGCCGCAGTCTCGCGGCCCGCACAGGGGTAGCATGTGCGTGTGGCCGGCGGGCTCACAGCATCCCTGCCTGCTCCTCCGTGCGAGCCCCAGCCGTGCCCTCCCCTGGGGGACCAAAGCCTTGCGTGCACTGTGCACCTCTGGCGACGAGGAGCGTGCGGCAGCTCGGGGACGGGGCGGAATGATTTCATCGATCCAGGGTGCGTCAGAGGGTCAAATTCCATTCCGGGCCCACCCTCGCCCGCGGTGCCCAGTGAAATGGCACGGGTGCGGATCACCTGAGGCAACCCTGCAGCCGTGACGTCTTTGCGGCCACCGATCCCCGGCTCCATCGGGCGCGGCCACAAGGGGAGCGGGCCGTGTCCCCGGGGAGATCCGGGACGGAGCGGCCTCCGGCGGCCCGGCGCTGCCTTCCCGCTGCGGCGGGAGCGCAGGGGCCCGCCAGCCGCCCTCCCGCGCCCGGGGCGCTGCGTACCTCCGCTCCGGCCCGATCCGGGTCCCAGGGCCGCCGCCAGGTGTGGGCGGCCGCCGCTGGCCCTGGGGGTCGCTGGCCCCGGCGGCGGAGCTGTGCCCGCGCCGCCCGGCCGCGCATCCCCCTGCCCGCGCTCCGAGCGGCCCCTGGCGGCGGCCCGCAGCGCCGCACGGCCCGGCACGGCACGGCACGGCCCGCCCGGGGCACCCGCGCCGCTCTCCGTGGCGGTCTCTGCTCCAGACTCCCGAGGTGAGACCCGCCTGTGGCTGAGGGTGGGACAAGCGAGATCGTGCTCTGTGCCGGCTTCAGCGCAAAACTGATGATCCCCGTGGTGCCGCGGGTATATAATCCTGCAGTCAGTCACCGTCACAGTAGCCACTTGCTTGTTTTCCCCCACCTTGGTTTGCTGCAGTGTACACTCAGTCTGACTTCAGAGCCGCAGGGCAGCAGACCCTGGCCACGAGGTCCCATGGCTCTTGGTGCTGGGCTAGAGAAGGGCGGGGAGAACAGACGAGAGTTTCACGAAGGGCAGCTTCTAACATGCCGTCATTCAGGGCTGGATGCAGCCAGTTCTCCATAAGGCTGCATGTAAAATCTTATTTGTCCTGACATTAAACTGCTTTTTCTTACTGCAGAAAAGCTATTCTGGATCTACCAGAATGAAAGGGCTAAATACTCAGCTTGAAATGGAGAGTGGAAGATACTGTTAGCCTGTATTTTTCACCTGTGGAAGAGAATGAAGTTCTATCTAAGCAGAACAACTCCCTTCTTGGTCTGTAGTGCTATCCCAAAACATTCACCTACTTCTGATATTGCAGGAGAAACAACAAACTCATGTTTGAGGTAGGGAGAATGGCAGCTCAGGAAGTGCCGTGGTAACGTGTCCATGGATCCAGGGTAGCTGTCTTGATGTTTGCTGTAACTTGTTCCAGGAAGCAGGGATCACACTGGGGCTGGGACTCTTCCATGGATGATGGTGATTTCCACCTCTGAACCTGTGCCAGCATGGAAGTAAGTGCAGAAACAGCTGACAAGCCAAGCACCAGCTTCTTGGAAGAGCAGCTGGAGTGAAATGGGTTGGAAAAGGCTTTAAGGATTGTTTCTGTGCGAATGGGCTGACAATCCTGCTGCTTGATTCATATATAAAGAATGTATAAAGAAACCAAATCCTCCAGGTGTCTCCTTTTTCAGCAGAGTTCAATTCCTAAAAGACAGCCAGCGAGCCCATGCCCCAAAGTCAAGGACATGACTTGTGGGCACAGCCAGAGACTGACCATCTTCAGCAAAGCAAGGACCATCCATCAGTTTGGAGACAGAAGCACACTTCAGCGAGGAAATTGCATCCTTTTCACACCTGAAGTTTGAAACATCTGTCTGGGGGCATGACACCTGTAGGAGTAGTGGTTTTCCAGGTCTGTCACCTAACAAGGAACTTGGAATCACTGAGTTGAGGTAGGTTGCAGCCCTGTTGATCTTTAGGCTCTCATCAATTGCAGTCCACGTAGCAAACTGCTACCAAACTTTGTTTCCATTAGCCTGAGGGCACTTTGAGGGACAGCTAAGTTTTGGACAATAATGTGTAAGTTTATTTTGCTACTTTGAAGGAGAAAAATAAAATCAGAATAGGTGGTAGCAATATTATTCATGGTAATTTGGTTCCTAGGCTGTGTTCTCCCTATAGGCCCCGAAATGGGCAGCACTGGGAGCGTGGGAGACTTCTGCTGCATCAAGAGGGACATCAGCTGTTGTCACTTTCTTATTCCTTCTTGCTCTTCCCTGCTCATGTAAATGAGCAGTGACTACTGGAAATGATGGTGAGAGCTGGAAGACAGCCTTCTGCCTCTTCAGTGACATTTTCTCTTAGAAAAGAATTATATGAAATGAAATTCAAAACAGATCATGCTAAAATGCTGTAGACAACTTGCTAAATCTTCATTCAGGCAATTCCTGTGAGCTTTTCTGTCACTTGATAGTTGTATGGCTCTGTTACAGACAAATTTTTGATGTTCTGTAAAGGTTTTCAGTGCCCTTGGCATTTCAGAGGGGATATTTGTGCACCTGCTACTTGCTTCCCCTTCTGGGAGATGAACGTCACAGCCTGCCCACATTCCCCAAGAGGCTTCACTTACTGATGGGTGCTGTTACTGCAACAGCTGAAGTCAGCACAATTCTGAAGTAATGTTATGAATCATAAAATAAGCACCTCCTCTCTTTGTCAATGCAAACTCTGGGGTTTTCTGCCTCTTTCTAGAACTGCCAGTGCTCCCTGACTCTGCACAGGTGAGAGGCACAACATAAGAATCTTAGACAAAGCTTCGCTTCTCAGCCTTCTTAACCTTAGTATGCATTTAATGCTATTAACAGTAACATCCTTCTTAAATATTTAATGCACTTCCTGGAGGCTTTTTTTTTTTCTGATTTCATATGTTTATCCAGCTCTGCTTCCTGCCACTGGAAGTAAATATTCCCCAGCAAGCAAACCTTGCCCCTGTGCCACATCCCCTCAGCAGCAGTGCTCCCTCTGCAGCCTGCACTCACAGCTGGCTGCCAGGATAGCCCTTGCAGCTGACCCCCACAGAGCCCAGAGGTGAAAAACCCTTAAAATTCAACCTGGAGCTGAAAGGCAAGACAGACTTCCTCTGGACAGCCTCTCCTCTGCAGTGAAGACAGGCACATTGGCCAGGATTTCTGGTGGAGCTGCATAAGCCAGGACATGGACTAAGGAGAGGCTGCATCTTCCAGCTTAACTAAAACAAAACACAGCCCTACCTCAGCTTAGCTGCAAAAGCCAGCAGGAGCTCTCACCATCCTCAAGTGCTTCACTGCTTTTGAGCTTGAATTTTTTTCCCTGAAATTTGAGTTAATCAGTAGAAATGCTGAGGTTTCCTGTATTTCACAAAAGTGTTTTCCAACAACTACTGCTTCCAACAAGGCATCTGTTTACACATTGACATAAAAAATGTGTTTTCTTTTTCTTGTTCCCTTGGCTGCAGTCAGTTAGCTCATTTGGGATTACAATGGTAGCACAGTAGGACTTTGTTTGTCTTTTCCTTGCATGAAATTTTGTTGAAAGTGTGAACTCTAAAAGGCATTGAAATGAGACAAAGTAAAATCCATTTAAAAATGAAAATACATAAACATTTTCTTCTCTGTCCCAGCCTCAGAGGTTTTGTAAATCTTTGAAGTTCAGTGTCTTCTGTAGAAATGCTTAAACTACACTTTTTTTATCCAGATAACAGGTTCCTCCCTCCTGCATCAAAAAGGGCTGAAACCCCCAAACTCTGGGGGATTTCACTCTGCTAGGAGTGAAAGGCTTCCCTGGTTACCATGTGACACAGGCAGGCAGTACCTGCACCTTCCTTCACCCATGTCTGAAAATCCTGAACTTACACTAGCACAAAATAATGCCTGGCAAGGTGTGTGGTCCTAGCAAGGTGTCTGAAAGGCAAAATTTGCCATTGTAACCTTATTAACTTGACATTTGGCATTAAATAATGGAGGGCTGCTAAAAGCACCAAACTCAAATCCCTCCTGATGCACCTAGGAGGCCTCTGGTCCTTGGTGATACTGTGGCTCATGGATGGTGAGTTTTTAATCCACTCTCCCTTTTTTCAGAGGCTTATTTTCTCTCTGGTGCATTTCCTTTAGTGTCTAATGTGTGGTAAAAATTGATATTTTATTATGAACTAAGCTACAGCATCTGTGACTTCTAACTGGGGTTGAAATTATGTAAAGCCTGCACATTCCTTTTTCAGATACCTTTTTGCCTGATGTTGAGGTCTATTAAATATACAAAGACACCTGGTCAGAAGAGTTGAGATGGGGAATATTTCTCCTAGGCAATTAAATGATGGGTCCAAAATAGGTACTGTTTAACTGTGCACATTAATAGCTAAACCTAGACTGGCTGATTCCATTAACTGTTTGATTGCATCAGGAATTCAGTTTGACCTCTCTGAAAGTTATTATAAAAGATGCATAGATGTTCTGTGGAATTTTCAGAATTACATGAATATTTGCTTACCACTGAAACAGATGTCTAGAGGTTTTTCAAATCCCATGAAGAACTAAGTTATTTTAAAAGCTGCCTGAACTGATGTAACATACATTGCATTTTTACATTCTTGTTCTAAAATAGAAGCTAGTCATCAAAACAACAATTCCAATCCATGCCTACAAATTCTAAATAACTTCCTCAGCTTCAACTTACAGTCTAAACAAAAGCAGAGTTATTGATTATTGCAAATGTTGATCAGTAGTCATGAAAACAAATTAAAGATACCAGAGGCAGGTCCTTAAGGGGAAAAAAGAAAGAATTAATGCAAACATTGGTAACACCTCAGCAGTGTTACTACACAGGAAAGTTCACCTGGCAGATCACTTACAGTGATTGTTGTCACCTCCCAGCATCACTGAAAACATGAGAAAAATCCCAGTTGATGGAATGGAAATGCAGATTAACTCCTCTGGCATTCTGAAGGGAGATCCCCTGCTCTTGAAGGACAAGCATCAGGCAGGAGAGCAGCTGAGACATGGTGACAGTGACAGACACATTGCCAGGACTCTGCAGAACTTCCCAGGAAACTCTCTCTACCTCAAAGACTAGAAATAGAAGACAGAATTAGAAAACATCAAATCTTCTCCCCCAGATGAAAAAGTCTTCAATTTAAATATGTAAATATGTATATGTTAATACTTTTTTTGTCAAATGTTTTCTGCTTATTTACTTACTCTGCTTATTCTTACATTATGTTTATATCTACTGAATGAAAAAATCTGAGTAAATTATTTTGGTTATCTCACCCTTAAACAACTTAGGTTGAGTGATAAGAAACTGGAATTCTATAAATTTTTGGCAAGCCATTTTTTTTTAGTTGGATTTCTCCCCGGGTGACACATTCTATCATGATTACTCCTGTTCACTGTTTGTGTGAGGCTTAGGGGTTGGAAGGGCTCTCTTGTAAGGCATGCCAGTGGAGACAAATGTTTCTTCTGAAGTGAGGTTTATAACCAGCTGTTCCTCAGTGTGGAGTGAAAGAAGGACACAGAAAGAAAAGCACAGAATCTTTGCAGACCTGATTGTCTACAGTTACTCTGTTGAGTTCAGTACAGTTCCTCTTTATTGACATCAGAGAAGGGACCAGATGCAGAGAAAAGCCAGCAGAAGAGCTCAGGTCTGCTTGTTTCTGTATCAGGTACTAAAGGCTTCAGAACTGTCCCTGTTTTGCCTGAGGTTTGTGTTGGTCTGAGAAAGAGCCCAGGTGTTGCTGCAGTGTTCTCCATAAATCAAGGGCTGTCTACACCAAAAGATGCACCAGTACATTTTGGGGTGTAGATCACGCCCAGGAGTTGCCAGCTCTGCTGTCTTCTTGTCAATGACTGCTCCAGTCATGCCAAGCAAACAGAAAGTTTAAAGCATCTTAAATGAAGGCAAATATAAAAACGATATCCTTTTTGTATAATCTGTTGCTTGGGGTAAGAATACACCCTCTGAAATTTTCTTGAGCCACGGATTTTTCATTCCCACATGCTAAAAGCGTTTGGCACTGCTCAATCATTTTCTCAGGGAGGGCCAGGATATACCTCCAGCTGCACGTGATGGAAATGGTAGGAGTTTCCAAAATGCTTAAAAATCAATTGTGCATAAGGATGGGGGGGCGGGGGGTGTTTGAGTGATTGAAGGCTTTGTAGTTACATTTTACATTCTCCCCTTTTACAGCACTGTTGAATTATTTTGTTTCTGTGCATAAACAAGAATCATAAAGAAATTCCTATCAAAAAAACTTGATGTTCCCGTGACCAAGGTGAAGCCACATAATTTCTGAGGCAATTTTACCTGGAGCTCACAGCAATCTACCAGAAACAATAGAGGGCCCTGTGGCAATGAGGTGGTTGTTAATTGCCGTGGGTGTTAGGCATTGATGGCTCTTTGTTGGCAACCGTTCTAACCCAATTATGTTTCTAAAGTGGGACTGAAAAGCATTGTAGGGAGCACCGTGTAAACGGCACTAAATGCACTGAGACTGAGCGACCTCCCAGAAAGACAGACAGGTGCCAGCTAAAGCCCCATATGATTGATTTTCCACGGCTAAAATGGCAACCACAGACATCTGGTTTTGCCCCAGTTATAACAACAGAAGCAATACTGGGCTGGTGAGTTTTGTTTCCCATGGAAAAGGGCCGGCATTTGTGTCCAGGGGTCTGCCCCACACCCAGGTGCCTGGGACCCCGAGTGGCTGGCACCTCCCAAAATTCAGAACAGCACAGAACAGCTCCCAGAGCCAGCCTGCCTCCACCGAGGACCTGGGCTGCCCTGGCAGTGCCAAGAGCCTCCTGCAAACTGGCATCAGGAAACTGGGGTGGTGAGTTTTGTTTCTCATGGAAAAGGGCTGGTGTTGGCCCGGAGTGGGCTGCCACCTCCCAAAATTCAGAACAGCACAGGATGTCTCCCAGACCCAACCTGCCACTACCTACAACTCAGGATACCCTGGCAGTGCCAAGTACCTCCTGCAAACTGGCATCAGGAAACTGGTTGTTGCTGTCTTTCTTAGAACAGCAAGGCTGCTTAGAATGACATAAAAATATGGCATTTGACTATCAGTGGGGGAGCTTTTGCTTTTCTGTGAGTAAAGCTTTATACCTCCAGCACTAGAAATTGAGTTCTAAGTCCTGAAGAAAGCAAACTCTGTGTGTATATAGACATGAATATATGTGACCTGTGTTTAGTACTTGGGCTTGTTTTAATGCTGTCCTGGCATTTAAGTCAGAGATTTTTCTCAAATGTAGGTAAAGCTATGGAAAACAGGCCAAAGCCAGCACAAAAAATCTAACCATTTGATTGAGTGGTATCACGTGGGCAGGAAAAACCTTGCAGCTTCAGGAGTGGTGGAAGAGAGTCAGCTGAGCATCTTATGATGTTTGCACTACCCAGCAACACTAATGTGCTTTCTAAATCATCTTGTAATATCAAGTGCAGTGTTTTAGTTCTTTGCTGTTGCAAGAACAAAATACCATTATTACAAAGATGTAAGTCCCAAGATGGGAGCCCTTCTACCTGTTTCCTTGCTACCAAGACCAAAATCTTTTATTCTTTTGAATTACTTTGAATTATTCACAGTTTTACATGGGACTCACACAAGGCTGTGATGTGGTATGTGGGTCAACCCACTGAGCAGTTTCAGAGGTAAAAGAATTATGTAGGAGTTCAAGTGTCCTTTGCCAATGGCTGCCTCTTATTGAGATTTTGTTGTTGTTGTTGTTGGGGCGGGGGGTATTTCTTCAGTTTGCAAAACTACGAAGTAAAGGACTGTATCCATGTTAATTTATGCAGATTTTTTCTACAGAATAGAGCTTAATAATCTCTTAGTTATAAGATCTTTGCAAGAGATTGAAGCACAGAAGGTGAATTTTGGGATCCAAAAGCAAAAATGTTACGTTAATGTTACGGCAACCATTGCTAGTTCTTCTTTGTGTAGTGTTTATGCCCTATAATCAGAAGCTCTAATATAATCCAGAAATTACTGGAGCTGTAATGTATTATCATCCAAGTCACTTCACAAACATGATTTCCCTTTGTTTTTCAACACTGTGTTACTTTTCCCTGTAAATCCCCCAAATGGGTGGATATTTACTCTGTTCTAAGAGCCAGAACTGCAGGGAGGAGCAGAGCTCAGTGTGCCGCCTGCCAGCTCTGAGCCGGACGGGCTGAAAGGAGCAGCGGGGCTGGCTGCCCTGACCGCGCAGCTGCGGCTCCGCGAGGCTGCTCGGAGCGCTGCCCGCCCCTGCGCTCTGACCTCTGGGCCGGGGTGTCTGACACTGCTCTCGCGGGCAGGACATTTGTCCTTCCCCGGCTCTGATAAGAACTGCACGCTCCTACCCACAGCGCGTTTTCCGCCAAGGCCCTTAACAATCCCTCAGCTTGACCTGGCTGTAATTTTTATACAGCCCGGACCACGTTAGACCAGAGGGTAGCAGTGACAGACCTGGCCTCTCCTCCTACGTTCTCAGCAAGGGCAAACGGCAGAGACGTGTGAGCGCTGCCCCGGGGGTGCCCGGCAGCCGGAGGTGACGCCGCTCCGGGCCCGGGGGCGAAGACGCCCGGAGGCGGCGGCAGCGCAGCCCCGGCCCGGCCCCGTGAGGGAGCAGCGCCCGCAGTTCTCCTTCGCGTCCTCACTGAGGGGGGCGGGGGGCGCGCCACGCCGCGCTCTCTGATTGGCCACTTCCCTCCTTGCCGGTTCGCCGTAGCCCAATGAAGACGAGCGGCGGGGAGGGGGGCGGGCAGGGATTGGCCGAGCGCGGCAGTGGGCGGGGCGGTGGCTGGGCCCGCGCGGGGGAGCGGAAGCGCGGCGCTGAGGGCGGCTGTGGCGGCGGGGCCGAGGGGGCGGCGGGGCCGGCCGGGTGCGGCGCGATGCGGGACAGCCGCCGCCTCTTCCCGCTGCTGCTCCTGGCGCTGCTGCCCGGGCTGTGCCACGGCGGGGAGACGGCACCGGGCGCCGTGACTTGCGGCTCGGTGCTGAAACTGCTTAACACCCGCCACAACGTGCGGCTCCACTCTCACGAGGTCAAGTACGGCTCCGGTGAGCAAGGCCTGGCCGGGGAGCTGGAAAATGGCGGGGCAGGGGCTGTGAGGGGCCGAGGAAGCGGCGGGGGACAGGTCGTGCCTGACAGGGAAATGGCGGGGGTGGGCAGCAGTGAGGGTTGTGGGGAAGGCGGAGGAAGCTGGAGTGTCCCGAGGTTCGTGTCCTTGGTGCAGAGGGAAGCGGCAGGCCAGGGATGGGGTGTAGGGCTGGGCTGGAGACACGGCAGCGACAGGGGGATGCTGAGGCCTGTGGGACAGGAAGATGTGTCAGCTGCTTTGTGGGCCCTGGAGGCTGGATGTGACAGGAGTGCTTTGCCCTTGTCCCCGAGGTAAGCCCTGCTCTGTGTCAAGGCCCTCAGCAGTATCTTACCAGTGTCTGTTCTGGCAACGAGGTGTTGGTCTGTTGGGGAACACCTTGATGGTGTTTTTTATAAAGGTGGGATGGTGTGAATAGTGCCTGTCATGGATCAGATTTTTTTCTTGTGTTCACCATGAACTTTGACAGTTTGCATCTGCTAACACATGCTGTGTTTCACTGCTTCCATCTGAAAAATGATTTGGTACCTGCATTCCTTTTGCAGTCAGTAAATGGACTGTGAGAATTAAGCACCTCGTAAACGTGAAGGCATAACAACATTAAAGCAAATTTCTGTAGTTTTCTCATGTCTTTTTGAACTGGGGAAGGGGGATAAGTCTGGTGTCATTTAATTTTATTCACACAGGAAGTGGGCAGCAGTCAGTGACAGGAGTTGAAGCTTCAGATGATGCCAACAGCTACTGGCGGATCCGTGGGAAGAGTGACAGCAGTTGCCAGCGTGGGACACCAGTGAAATGTGGGCAAGCCATACGACTTACCCACGTTAACACTGGAAAAAATCTGCACACTCATCACTTCCCATCACCACTCTCCAATAACCAAGTGAGTTGGTTTAAATCTTAAGCTTTTGTACAAGTAGTGCATGCTATTGACAATAGGCTCTCCAGTTACTTGGGTTTTTGGAGAATCAGGCTTGAGTACCAGCTGCCAGAAGCAGTATGTCTGTGCATATCCAGATTCAAGTGTAGGCTTTTCTGCATGTTAAAATGATGTTTTTCAGTTCTTGACAAGGGTAATGTAGTATGTGCCAGCATTGGTATTTCACAGTACTTTTAACAAATCTGCTTTGTTTTTTTTCTTTTTCTGCACCATTGCTGCTGGGAAGGCTGTTCTGAAATGTTTGTTGTTTTCTAGATGCAGGAGATTGAGTATCTCCCTCAACATGGTGAAGATTGCTCTAGAGCCAGGCAACTACTCATGTGTTATAACATTAGGCATTCCTATGTCCATGTTCCTTGGTGATCCAGTCTATTAGTCTCAGTTGTCTTCTTGCTATCCCTATTTCATTTCACTGTTCATATTCTTCTGTCCTGCTTCCACAGGAAAACTGAACTGCTCTTGCAATCATACTTAATTATAATTTTGTACATATCTAGAAGAGTGTGATTTCTAACTGTAATTCAGCCCCAGAACAAATACTTCTCCAAGATGGAAAATCTCTCATAAATAATGCAGTAGTTGGAAGATTTTTGTTGTTAGTCATGTCAGTCTTCCATCAGGCTGTGTAGAGGTTGTTACATTCACGCTTGGAAGCTCTGACTCTTTGTGGAAAAATTTTTCTTTCACCATGAGTAAAGTGACTGAAACAATAAGGTTCAGCTCTGTGTAGGGTGTCTCAATAATCTGATTATTAAAAGGAGTGATGGAAAAATAGCGTTTCAAAAGAATTGTTTAAGGGAAAGATTGACTCTGAAACCTTCCCTGAGTTTCATTTTTCAGTGTGGACACTTCATATATTGTCATTAAGGTAAGAATGTTCAGCTGTCATTGTGGGGTTTGGTTTTGTTTGGAGTTTTTTCAGCCCTTTTTGCTCAGGTTACAGGTTGGAGTTTGTTGGCACTTTTTGTTCAGATTGTCTGGTAGAACCTTACTGCTTCTGGCTTCAGTAACTGTTGGCAAAGCAATACAGCAACACTTCTTTCCCCATCCTCATCTTTGAGCTCTGCTGACTCTCTGGTTGATGTTCGTGTGTCCTGGAGGTGTTTGCTTACACTTTCACTTCAGGAAGCTTGTGTCTCTAACAGGAAGTAAGTGCCTTTGGGGATGATGGCGAAGGAGATGACCTGGATTTCTGGATTGTGCAGTGCAGTGGGACTTACTGGGAGCGGGAGGATGCCGTGCGCTTCAAGCACGTGGGGACGGAGGTGTTCCTGTCCATCACGGGGGAGCAGTACGGCCACCCCATCAGAGGCCAGCGGGAAGTTCATGGCATGCCTGCTGCCAACCACCACAACTACTGGAAAGCCATGGAGGGAGTCTTCATCAAACCCAGTCTGGACCCTGCAAAACATGATGAGCTCTGAATTGACACGGGATCCAAAATGCTTCGTTTGACTCCAGTGTTTGGAGATGCTAATCCTTGGTCTCTTCTAAGTCCTGCCTTGCCTGAGTGACTGATTTTCTGTGTTACTGAAGGGCATTAGTTCATTCTAGGAATGCAGCACTTCTGTGGGGAATGGCTTCTGCCAGGTTCAGCCACTGACATTTATTTGGTGAAGTCCTTTCTGAATTTCCAAGCTTTATTGGTGAAACTAGTTCATACATCTGTTAGGTTTTGTTGTCATTTGTTTGCTTGTTACTTTTTCTCGAATTCGAAGGAAATGAAAAAACGAAAGTAATACTTTTCTCTAGTCTCAAGTACAATAAGACTTTGTATTTTGTAGTCTTTTTCCAGCTATAATTAAATATTTAGAAACTGATTTCTACATCCTAGTGAAAGATTGTTATTGATGAGGAGATGGATTGTGTGTAGAAACAGAAAAATGGTTCTGAAATATGTGAGAGTTTCAATCTGTATTGTATTGGAAGACTTGAAAATATTGTTTATGTTGGAGTAAGAAGACAAAACTTTAATACTTTGTCCAAGAAATTCAGATGTTCTAGTAGTGGTGGTACAGCTGATTGTCCATTGGTAAGGCTGCTCTGCTCTATGAACAGGTGCAGAAAACTGCTGCTTCCTTAATTAAGATTAGAATTTTACAGAGTTTCTTATGGTGTAAAGGAACGGTTAAATTTGGCTTACTTCTGTGTCACTCTACAACATCAGTATGACAATGCAGGTGAATAAATAGTGAGGCATACACCTCTGTGGGGCTTTTTATGTGTGAATCCAGAAGAGCAAAAAAAATCTGAAACAATGGTTTGGTCATGGATTTCTGACAGAGTGGTATGCACTGGAGTGCTAGCAAGGAATCTTCACTGAGCAAGTTAAGAATTTGTGTGCTCCTCTGTGGAAAGAAATTAATTCTTCAGTGCATTTTTTACACGGTGTTACTGGAAATACTGATTAAAATTCAAAATACCATGTATTTGTGATTTTGTCTCAAATTGCAAAGTCAAGGAATGAGTGAGAAAAGTCAGACCATTCAGGTGTTCTTGTTTCCATGTGCAAATTGTTTACTGATTACAGTGCTCATTAGTCAATCAGTTAAAAAAGCAGGAAACTGATTTGCTGCTCTTACAGCTCCAGTTGGGAGCTGCAGTGTTGGTGTTGTGTTGAGAGGGTGCAGTAGGCAGCTGAGTTCAGCTTTACAAATCCAGCAGGCTGCTCTGTGCTCCTCATGCAGGAGTGCTGCCCAGGCAGGCTCCAGGCTTTATTTAAGGATTTCCTGCTAGGGAAGGTCTGTCCAAGCCCTATGGAAAAGGGAACCTCTGTAACAGCATTTCTGTGTACCTTGCTATTTTTCTTCAAAGGAAAAGGTAAGAATGTTTTTCTAGTAATTTTAGTTGCATGTGTGTATTTAAGGATTGTAGGCATTTTGGAGATTAGGTAGGTGGCTTTTGCTGTTTTGTATTAGAAGTAAACTTTCCTGTGATCAATATTTCAGGTTCACTTCTACTCCTGACTAATTGGTATTGAGGTTACAGCTATAAAATGATAACTATTTAAAAACAAAACAAACCTGCATAAACAAGCTTTTCTCTTATTAATGAGCGCTTTTCTTTTGAAGGTGGTATATACATAAACAGAAAATGTGATGGCATTTGACAGGAGGAATAAATAGTCTTGGCAATGAGTTCTCTAAGTTCAATAAGAGCTAAAATGCTTTGTGCCTACACCATATGGGCTTAGTGTTTGTGCACCTGTGGAACACTAAATTGGCTGAGAAGGGGTAGAGCTGTGGGGCTCATCTCGGTCTGTGTGCCAGGTACCATCCCCACCCAATGCCTGTCTGTGCCTCGATGTTTCTGTCCCTGGCAGAGGTGGTTTTCAGTCTTATTTATTATGCTTGAGTGGGATCTCACTGGACCTTTGGCTTTCTGTTCTGGATTTGAACCAAATTGGTTTGGTGAAACTGCAAAAAAACTGACTTTTAGTCCTTATTGCTTACTTTCTTATGTTCTGTTTTGAAAAAACATTTGTACCTTTTGTTTCTAAAAAACCAAGCTGCCACACACAAATATACCCATGAATGCCTTATTTAAAAAGACATGTTCAACAATATTCATGTGAACTGAGTTTCCTCCACTTCTGATTCTGACCAAAGTGTGCAAGTCACTTAGCCTAAATACTTCGCTTGGATGTGTGTCACAATAGTTGAGGGGATTTTGTTTGGTTGGGATTTTTTCCCCCAGTTTTTATCACTGTAAGTGGTGGTCTGAAGAGGGACCTGTTTTGTTTCTTTATTTTCCTTTCTTTTAAAGTGATAAATTTTATATCTCCTGTCAAAATTCTCTGAATGCTTCAAGGTTAAATGAACCCTGTTTATTTTGTCTTCTGCTGCTAGCAGAAAATAATTCTCTCAAATGAGAAGGAACAGGTGCTTTCCTGTTTCTCGCTTTTTTTATTACAAGAACTCTCTGAAAAGGTGCACCAGTGTTGCTTTGTACTCCTCCTTTAAGAAACCAGAAAGGCTTTTGGGGAAAGAATTAGAGGGATCTGTATTTATAATTGTTCTCAGCAGGAATAGTTGCTAGTCAGTCTTTGAAATCTGTTAAATAGTGCATTTTACACATATGTATATATCTAGTTCAATATGAAATGACAAAGAGTTCCTTAGATATGTTAATTTCTAGGCAAGTGTCTGCCTACAGATATTTTTACTCTATTTCTGGAAGCTCTTTAAAGCTCTGTACAACTGCTCTGCATATGAACGCTTGCCACACATTTTGACTTTTTGGTCAGAATGAATGAAACCTGGTTAGTTCTTCCAATGTGCTGGAAGGGATGTGTTGCTCATTGATTCTTCATTCTGAATGTTGAAGCTAAATATAAACCAGTGTTTGCATTCAAATGGTATAACCATAATTTAATTTATTGTGTTTAGGAATACTAATTGGGTATATCTGTTCTTATTAGGTTAAATTAGCATATCTTTTTAAAGACAAAAAAAATACAGTCTAAACAAACCTGTAACAATTAATCTTACTCAGCAGTATTTTTAAGCCTGTTAGTTTTGCTGAATCTTCTGTGTCTTCTGCCTGCCTTCCCCAGCACTGAAGCAGTAGCTGACACTGTAGATGCATCACGTTTCACACCTGGCCTAGACAGAGGCTGAGCAGTGTCTTCTTCCAGCAGCAGCATCCTGCTGGTGTCTGCCTCCCTGCCTGGCATCCTTGCTGCCTCTTTGCTGAATTCCCTGCTGGCAGCTGAGAGCCTATGAGAGATTTGTGTATGTAGGGTGTCTGATGCTAATGCCCCTTTCCTAGTTTTGAGTTTGCTTCTGTGTCCTTTTGGTTTTGCAATTTTCTCTTTAAAAACGTCTCCTGTTATCCAGCCCTGGGCCACTGATCAATTATCTTTGATAATTGCTTCATAACATGGCTGTTTATCAGCTGCCTTTCAGGATCTCGTGTTTGGGGTTACAAGACAGCACTTGTGGTTGTGTCATTTAGCTTTTTAAGGAAGCAAGAAAAGAAGTTAAACAGGAATATTTGAAGCTCAGGAAGTGCTTTCCTCTTCACTGTGCTTGGTTCTATCCTGTGAGGTAGGGAGCACAGGGGATGGTTTTCTTCCTCAAGGAAGAATAAAACATTAAACCTTACCAACCTGGAGTTACGTAGGAAAAACAAGGCAATTTGAACATTACCTTAGGGTTTATTATGTATGCAGGTCACAAATAGTAATAAACTTTAAGCATTTTGAAAAACCTTAGGAGCCTAAAGGAGTAAGTATTTCATACCTCTTCCTTCCAGGGATATTCTAAGCATCTTAGTGCTCCCATATTTATAAATTCTTTGATAGGTTGTGTGGTATTTACACATAATAATTTATTTTTATTTTCTGTGCAAAAGAGGGAAACCCAGCATTAGCTCCTTCTCATCTGTTTCCTCAATCAAACTTGCTGTAATTGCACTAATGCATGGAAATTGATTAAGACATGATCAGCCAATTCCTCTGAGGACAGTACTGGTTTATTTTGGGTGTGTATGAGCAAGGAGGGAATATAGCGAACACCTTGAAAAGTAAACTTCAGCAGCTGCACTGTTCAATGCTTCTGTCTATTTAAATTGCATCAGATTGAACTGATTATAAAAGCCTTTTCACTATATTTGGTATTGTGCTAATTCTAAATTAGCATAAAGTTCACAGTGAAATCCTGTGATAGCTCTGATACTGATTCAAGCTGCTGTTCTGTGAAGGATTCATCTGTCTCCTGTCCTTTGGGAAAATGGTGTCCTGCTTCATTGGGATAAGAAGTGTTAGAAGCTGTATGACATCTCAAGGATCCCAAACCCTTATGAAACACATTACAAATTAATCAGAATGTGTACAATTTGTAAAGCTGTGCGATTACTTCCTGTGTGCTTTTTTTAAATTGTAAAAATCATGTGTTGATGCTGTCTTTGGCTGCGTGGAGGACTGTGGAGCTTTGGCTCGGATCTGTGGCTCTTTGCTTGATCCTCGTGATGGTTCTGTATTTATCCACCTCGGCTTCATTTTCTGGGAGTACTCATTATTAGTACAAGTGTGTGCTGTACTGAAAATCAAAGTAGGTGGCGTGACTCTAAGTGAAACTCAAACCACAGCTGAGCATAAGACGCAGTAGGTGCCCGAAGTTATTTTTCTTCTGCTGATGCCTTCACAGCCCCATCTCTGCCTGCCCGGCCGCCGCAGCCGGGAAGGGTCGGGCTGGCTTCAGCCGCCTTCCCGCAGACAGCCCCTACACGACAGCTTCTCTTCTGTGCGCTTAAATGCTGGCGGCTACCCTGTCCTGCCTAGGGAACAGCCCTGTGGGTGAGCTGGATAAAAACTTGCGTGGGGTGGATGCGAGCGGGGCCGTTCTGAGGTGAGAAGGGCGGGCGCGTCTCGCTGTGGCGGAGCTGGAGGCGGGAGCCGCGGCCGCTAGTCAGCGCTGCTCCTCCGCCTTCCGCGCCGCTCCCCAGCGCTGCCTGCCTGCCTGCCTGCGAGCCGTGTGCCTCCGGCAGCCCGGCAGGCTTGCAGCAGCGCAGCTTTGATCGCCGCAGATTTATACTCTTCGGGGGGAAACAAATAACATCCGCTTCCCCCGCGTTACACTGCTAAGGCGATCAGCTGCTGCAAGACCGCCCGTGCGGCCGTGCCTCCTTAGGTGCGCTCTGCCAAGTCATGTACTGCTCGGTTATTAGAAGGGAAGTTTAAAACATTAGCATAAGCTCTGAAGCGGTGCTTCAAGCGTTTCTGTTTACTATTTTTCTTTAGGATCGTTGAAGTGCGGCCAAGGATGAAGTCTGTTTGCTTACAGTGTATATTTAAGGCTATTATCTGTATTGTGAAATTAAATACCGGTTTCTGCTCGGTGGGGGAAGAAAACGCAAAAAAGGATCGTTAAAAAGGGAGCTCTCCTTGTCCTGTCATGTACAAAAAAACGCATTGCATTTCGCAAGATCTCGGCAGTAAAAGCTAAAACGAAACTATCTGTTCCTAACTAGAACAGGCTGCACGTCAGTGCTAGTTACAGGAATACCTCTTATCCCTAACGTAGCTCACCTGGCTCCCCTCGGCTCTTGCTGGACCGCTTCCCCTGGAGTAGATCCTGTGCCATCCGCCGAGGATTCCCTTTGGCATGAGGATGAAAGCCGAGCTGCCATCTCTTACCGCCACGATATCGGTTTGCGAGCCGCTGCGAGAATTCTCCCAGCCATCCTGCGGGGATGCAGCTCCCGCTGGCTTCGTGGGTCACCCACATCGCAACCCACCAGCTGTCCTCAGTGGGGACAGCAAGCGGCGGGTCCAGCTCCCCTTCCTACCAGCGTGGTTATTGCCGAGGGCTTTGTTCACGTGCCAAAATAACGTAATTTTTTTTTTTTCCTTCATGTCTGCCTGGCGGTGCAATTTGGGTTTCTCAGCATCCGCTGCCTGCCGATACTCTTTCATGTCTAGCGGAAA